CTCTATCCCTCAGGTTGGAGTGCAGTGGTGTGATCTCAGCTCACTGCAACCTCTGTCTCCTGGGTTCAAGTGATTCTCCTGCCTCAGCCTCCCAAGTAGCTGGGATTACAGGTATCTGCCACAATGCCTGGCTTTTGTGTGTGTGTGTGCTTTTTAAAAGTAAAGACAGGGTTTCACCATTTTGGCCAGGCCGATCTTGAACTCCTGACCTCAAGTGATGCACCTGCCTCAGCCACCCAAAGTGTTCAAAGTATTGGGATTACAGGCACGAGCCACCATGCCTGGCCTCTCCCTGTAAATTGTAAGTAACTATCTCTCCTCTGTCACAATCTGTTCCTCTTTTCTCTCTGTCTCTTGTTTTAGAGTGTTTTTTTTTTTTTTTCTTTCTCTTTAGAATCTTTTTGTTGAAGGAAATATATAGTACATAGTGTGGATGTAAGGCAGCATGCATAATGGAATTTCAAACTCTTTTTTTTGAGACAAGATCTCACTTTGTCACCCAGGTTAGAGGTGCAGCAGCACAATCACAGCTCACTATAGCCTCAGCCTCAGCCTTCCAGGCTCAAGTGATCCTCCCACCTCAGCCTCCTGAGTAGCTGTGACCACAGACATGTACTACCATGCTAGGCTAATTTTTTTATTTTTTGTAAAGATGAGATCTCCCTGTATTGCCCAGGCTGGCCTTGAACTCTCTTAAGCGATCTTCCTATCTCAGCCACCCAGAGCGCTGGGATTATAGGTATGAGCCACCATGCCTGACTGGAATTCCAAACTCAATGAATAAAATTATTATAGTCTGAAAAATACCATGAGATGTAGATATTTAGATTTCCTATATACCTATTCTTAAAATAGTTGTGTTTTGCCTGCTGCTGATTCTAATTGCATACCTGACTTTGCTTAGTAGAGTATTCCATTATTAATAAAGCAAAACATGAGTTCTATCTATATGCTGAAAGATCAAAAAAAATCAAAAACTTTGCATAGTAGCTAATATAATCCTTACTAGAATATTTCTTCTATCCTTAGAAGTACAGTCTATTTTTGTTTACATGTCTCTTTCTGCAAGGTACTGTGTTAGATCTATTAAGTATAATGAGATATACCTGTGGTTTCGAAGTTCCTTATAGTTTCATGGAGAAATATGACATACATAAATAATTATACTATATAGGAGAAACTATGTGCCAGATGAGAAATATTGGAGTCCAAAAGCAGAAAAGTTATACTTCTAATGTGTATGTTGCTATAGAGTACTTAAAAATCTTTTCAGTATAATGATAATTGCATCTTGATAATTGATAAAGTATCTTAGGTATGATACTTTAAAGTCTACAAAATGTATTCACATCTTACTGTAGAGTACATTGCTTGTGTGAAAGATATTTTATTGAAGAAGATACTATTGTATGCAAAAATATTGAAACATCTATCAGGGCTTTTGATCTCGCAAATAATATACTCTGATATACTCTTGAAAAATGTATTTCATACTCTATAAGAATCATCAGTAAATAATTTTTATCTAAACATCCATAAAAGTAATGAAAAAAGTAAATAAGAGTAGTTAATATATTTAATAAATTTTTGTTAACTGTTACCTCTAACCTCAAAGGTGTTTAATTACTTATATAACTCTTTTGAGAAATAATAACACAAATGAAAGTATTGATAAGCCTGACCTTTTGTTATCACATTGAAAGCTTATGTGTGGGTTTTTTTTCTTTAACTTTCCAAATTCCTTTATTTGTTAATCATCTCTTGACCAAATTTTAACATCATTCATAAGTTTGCTACTAGAAACATAAACAATAATGAACTCATGAATTTGAGTATTATTTTTTTCTGCTTTATAATAGCAGTAGTGGATATCTTCAGCTTTCTGCCTGTATCTTTACTAGACATTCCTGTTCATTTGATGGACTGGAAGTACATATGATGGACTGGAGATACATATGATAGATGCTAGTAGTTTTGTTTCCTCTTTTTCCTGAATCTCAGCCTTTTTCTGTCAAGATTCTTTAATTAGTTTGTGTCTGGTTTCATTTTCTCTAACAATTCTTTAAAATACCTTACCTGTAAAAAAATAAAAAACAAACCTAAACAAAACAACTGTAACATAAAAAAAAATCACATGCTCTTCTTTACCTTTCTTCTTCCTTATTTTTCTTATTATTCTTGTTTCATAACAAATAAGGAGTCAAATTCAGCTCCCTCTTATGTTCCAAAGATAAAAGGAAGCTGTATGTTTCATTATGTTTGGAAGCACAACATTTTTTTTTAGAACTGACTTTGTGAAGCCTGCTGATATTTTTCCTCCATTGTGTATATTCCCCTTCTCTTTCTCCACCCTCTATTCCCTAATATCTGTAGAATAGTAGGTAAGGCATTATAAATTACCCCCATTTTTATATCAGTAATCAGCTAATTGGGGCCCTAAAACTCAGTGACTTTCAAATACTTTGAAACTATATAATATAAGGTTATATAGGCTATTTAAAGATCTTCCTGTTGGTTCGTCTTTCTAAAACGAGGGATTTAATCATGCCTCTGTTGTTGTTTTGATCCTGCGTCTTTTTAAAATATTACATTTTGACACCTTAGAAAGCACATTTAAATTATTATAATAAATAAAAATAAATGTATAAGAACACAGTTAAATTACTATAATAATGTAAATATTTCATTCAGCTATCACATTATATTTCAGTTGGAATCATTATTAGTTATAATTGTCAACTTTCTTTGTATTGTCTTGCTGGAGTTCCTAGAAATACTAAAGAAATGTTAAACAGTAGAGAGGAGAGGGTGAAATATGTTGGTGGGGTTGTAGGAATCATTTTATTGAGTGAATCCTAAAGCATACCTGCCTGATTAAGATAGTATACATACTGTAAAATGTTTTTGTGAGATTTTCTCAAAATAAAATGTAAGGTATGTAGAAGATTTAAGTTTTTTTCAGAAAGAAAAAATAAGAATAGGATAACATTTCTGGTAACTTAACTTTTGCTGAGGGGGAGCTGTTACTTTAATATCTTAAAATCCCTATTTCTTATATTTTGCCAATACTCAAAGAATAATATTACCAAAAATTGAGGTTATTCCTATGAATAATGGTTAAAAATGTTAATTCTTTTTATTTTAAAGAAAAAAAAGATCTTTCTTTTTAACTAAAGCAACCTTTTATTTTTAGCACAATTTACTGTTTTTAAAGTTTTGCAGATCATTTATATTTCTCTGCATCATTGGTGATTCCATTTCAGATCTGACCTCTCAATGATGGTTTTTATTCCACCTGAAAAAGCAGATCAGTAGTGTTGATCAGTTCTCTAAGGAGGTGTAGAGCTACTCTCTAAAGGAAATATAAGCCACAAATATAAGCCACCTGTGTAATAAAATTATCTTGTATTTTTAAAAGTAAAATTAATTTTAATAATATATCTTAACCATATATATCCAAGATACTATTTCAGTATGTAATTCATTTAAAATTATTAGATATTTTACTTTTTATGATACTAAGTCTTCCAGTGGTATTTTACTCTTAAGATGTCCCTATTTACATTACACATCTGTGTTCAAACTAGCCACACATTTTGAGTTCAGTAGCCATTATGGCTAGTGGCTGCTATATTGGGCAGTGCGAGTTTAGGGCATTGTTTTGGAATCACACCAAGGGATAGTTTGGGCTTATAGAAAGAATGTCTTCACTCTTTTGAACAATTATGTTTCTGATGTATCCTTCATCTAAAATTGAACAGACAATCAGCAATAATCTATAATCTTGAAGACTTAAATAGAAAGTATTAAAATTGGGTTGGAGAATCATCCCTGTGATAAATAATATTTTAAAATTCCCAGTAGATTCTGTGTTTTAAATCTTTAAAATTAAATTTAGAAACTGAGGTTCAGAATAGATTACTTTCTTCAGCCTGAACCTTGAATTATTATGACCAGATTTTGTTTAACAAATGACAGACTCATGAAGTTTAAATGAATTTGACTAGGCAAACATATCTAAATACTGGGTGGATATCTAAGCTTTTCTAGGCAATTTATTGCCATTGATTTTTTGCCCCTACTCCTGAGGTAGCCTACTCATTTGAGATACCTTTAGTGTCAATAAATTCAGTCAATCTGACTTGCTGCAGTTTAAATTATTTTCTTTTTCTCCTGTAGAAATGATTAATACTCTGTATTAGAACATAGAAGGAATCATAAACATCATCCCGGTTCATTACTTTGGAATGGGTACAGTAGTAAATGGATCTGAAACGGAGATTGTTGGAGAACCATACTTTTTAGAAACCCTGAGTCTAACATAATATATTATTAAAATATAACCTGTACAAAAAATCACACACACAGACACAAAAAAAAGAATAAAAATTATATATAACCTGTACAAAAATAAATTAGATTAAAAAGTTTGGAGGAATCCTGAGATATCATTTACTTTTAAAATGTTGTACTTTAATTTTGTTTATCCACTGTCAGACCCTGGTTGTCATACAGCACCAAATATGACACAATTCTTGCCTTCAGTGGACTTTTGCACTAGAAGAGATACCTACAGTAAAACAAGTCCCAGCAATTTCATACAGTAGTTACTCTGTGGGCTCATGGATACAGCATCTGAAATAAAGAGAATGGAGAGGAAGGAGGAAATTCAGGACCAATCATGTGGGGCCTTCTGTTTTATGAAAGTGGTTGAACTTTATCCTGGGTGCAGTGGGGAGACGGGAGAATTTGAAGCAGAGAAGTGACATGAATAGATTTTATGCTTTTAAGAGATCACAGTGATT